CTCAGCAGGGTAGAAATCCATCACGGAGCACAGCAGGCGGCCGGGGCCGGGCTGGGAGCTCGAGGGGGGCACCAGCGAGATGGACACGCTGGGGGGCACTGGCAGAGACAGAGACAGAGAGAGAGAGAGCGGGGACACACTGGGATCAGCTGGGGGGCACTGGGAGAGAGAGGGGAGGGCTGGGGTAGGGAGGGGAGGGACTGGGAAGGGACTTGGAGGGATTGGGAATGGACTGGGAGGAACTGGGAGCCGCTGGGACTGATTGGGAATGGACTGGGAAGGACAGAGAATGAACTGGGAGGGTCTGGGAAGGGACTGGGGATGGAGTAGGATGGATTTGGGATGGACTGGTGTCGACTGGTATGAACTGGAAGTGGATTGGGAGGGAGTGGTGTGAATTGGGAAGGTCTGGGAGAGGTGAATGTGGATGGGGGGCACTGGGAGTGAGCGTGGAGGTCTGGCAATGAACTGGGGATGGACTGGAAATCAGCTTGGAGGGGGTTGGAAGGACTGGGAATAGCATTGGGGGGGACTGGGAAGGTATGGCAATATACTGGCAGGCACTGGGAACAGACTGGGACAGACTTGAGTAGTACTGAGAGAAGTGGGAGGGGATGGGGTGTACTGGGACAGAGGGTGGAGGTCAGGAAATAAACTGGGAATAGACTGGGAATTGATTTGCAGGGTCTGGATGAGACTGCGAAGGACTGGGAGGTACTGGGAATGAACTGGGCGGGACTGGGATTTATTGGGTTGGCAGTGAGAGTGATGGGAGGGAATGGGGGGAACTGGGAAAGAGGCTGGAGGTCTGAAAGTGAACTGGGAGTGAACTGGGAAAAGACTGGAAATGGACTGGGAGGGACTGGGGAGAAACTGGGGATGGTCTTGGAGGGACTGGGATAGCACTGGGAGGGATTTTGGTGGCACTGGGAGGAACTGGGAATGAAGCGCGCGGCGCTGGGAGCCCCAGTCCAGCGCGGGGCACTCGGCACTGCGGGTATGCCTGGCAACAGATGAGTCATCAAAAATTTTCAATCTCATTAGTCACGAAGCGTCAGCTTCACGCGTCGATGAAATGGACGCGCGGGGGAGGGGGGTACTGGGAAGGACTGGGATGGACTGGGGGGTCACTGAAGTGGACAGGAGGCTCCTAGGATGGCATCAAAGAGGGCTGATGGCTCTGGGGCGATTCCCAGGGAGGGTTGGAGGGGCTCCAGGGTCACTGGCAGGGCGGGAGCCGAGGGGACGCGCTCTGTCCCGCGCTCACCTCGGCGCTCCGTGAGGAACCCATCGTACCAATCCAGGCAGAACCAGTCCACTGCAGTCCGTGCTTTCTCCAGTTTGGCCGGGTCGCTGTTCCAGTTCCTGGCCCACCTCTCCCCAGCGGGGGTGAACCCCACGTAGTGCCCCACATCGCTGTCGAACATCACATCCTGCATCCGGTTGTAGATGTACCTCTCCACGAACCTCACCTTCTCCGTGCCGTTAATGAAGTGACACTCGGACGTTGACAGCTCCTGGAACACCGCTGTGAGTGCAGCACA